GGGCCTGAGCAGCTTGCCAAGCATATATCTCTTCCGCGCCATTCGCTGTGAAGAGTATCGCGCAACGGCCCCACCCCACATGTTCGAGGACGACATTTGTCGGTCGCCCATTGTGCAGAAGGCGTACTCCAAAGATATCATTATCTACACTACCGTCTCTGCTGTGCTCAGCGTCGTGCTGGCTGGGCCGTACGGCAGAGTGTCGGATATCCGCGGCAGGAAGCGGGCGCTGACAATCTCGGCCACACTCAACGCACTCGGGAATGTTTGGCTTGTGCTATGCTGTGCGTGTAGCGGGCTTTTGTACATGGCTTGTTGTGCTAACTGCCGCGATTACAATCAGCATTCTTCGCTACGCTGCGCAGTCCCTGGCTCGTGCAGCTTGCAGCGGTTCTACAAGGCCTTGGTGGCGGCTTCTCTATTATCACGGCCATCCAGAACGCTGCCATCACCGACACGTCCGCCCCGAGCGAGCTGTCGCTCTGCATGGGCCGCACTTACCTCCTGTCGTGGATCAGTATCATAATTGGCCTGGGTATCAGTGCCAATCTGCTCGATGTGAACCTTTACGTTACAAACTTTGGCACCAATGTGCTCATTTGGTTGGTGTATCTACTGTATCTCCACTTCGTTGTCCGCGAGGTGCGTGTGCCGCCAGCGGAGGACAACGCCGATGTTGCAGCAGCAGCAGCGCCGGGCGAAGCCACAACATACCAGTCAATCCCTTCACGTCTGCTTGCCGCGACACGCTCAGTGTTCGAACCAATGACCATTCTGGCGCGGCATACCACGCTGCTCTTCTTGTCCATCGCCATCGTCGGCACCACGCTATCTATCGGAGTGTTCAGCCTCATCATACCGTACTGCGACACCAAATTTGGACTAGAGCCTAGTGAGGTGCGCAATCTTTGTCCCTCATGGCACACAGTCAAGCTTATGTTCACGCGTAGGCGGGTCTCATAACTGCAGCCTGGTCCGTTTCACGGGCCGTCATCGTCGTCTTCCTCCTTCCAATGTTCCTCGCTGCCTACCAATGGTTGGCGTGGTTGGCGAACTGGAAGAGACCAGAGAGAAAACCAGCGTCAGTACATATTGATGTAGCGGCCGATGAGACAGCACCCTTGCTAGTCGAAGCTACACAAGAGCCCCAGGCAGACGAAAACACTCAGACGACAGCACCGTCACCGTCGGCATCGAAGAGACTAGCAATGATTCGCATCTGCCTCATGGTCAGCGCGCTGGGCATGCTTGCCACTGAAAGCAGCCGCAACGTTGGAGAGGTCGCACTCGGTCTGTGCTCCGCATACAGCGCGCTACAGTACCCATCTGACACCATGACCACAGCAACGGTTGCGAGCTCGTTCGGCACGCTTGCAGTGCCGTTTATGCAAGCACTACTCACGCTTGCCGCGCCGCCCGGCGCGACCGGACGCGTGCTCGCTGGCTTGTCTATCCTGCAGTCCGCTGCAATCGCCCTGCGCGGCCTTGTGTTCGTCACATTATTCGATGTTACCTTGGAAAAGGCTTCCGGAGCGGTCTGGTGGTTGTCTGCCGTGAGTGTTGACAAGCGTCCTGTGGAGAGCGTACGCTAACAGCCCCTCCGCAGCTCATCTTGGCTCTGTCTAGTTTGGTCATGTTCAGCCTACGTCCGAAGCAGTTCGTGTCGCACAGTGTGCTGTACGCTGACGGTCCCTCCGCGGCTCATTTTGACCTTGCCTAGTTTGGTCGCGTTCAGCTTACGTCCGAGTGCTCTTCTACGATGGCAAAGCGAACTTGTATTAGTCTAAGCAGTAACAGTCCTGGAATCAACTGTTGCAAATGACATAGCTAGTCTGGAATGAGCTTTAGCTTCTCAACAACGGCGAGTCACGCACCGTTATGCCCTAACGAACGGTATCTGGAACCCAGAGAGCAGTGTTCGAACCCTATTTTGCGCGCCCTCGCCCCTCGTGTTGGCGATGAAGTGTATATGCATACCGTAGTTGTTGGGGTATGCGTCCATGTTGTATTCGATTTGAGGGAAGAGACCCATGGCCATTGGCGGAAGACCAAACGAGACGACACCCGATGCTGCGCTGGCCGAGATGAGGGACGACGACTGCCGGGGTAGTGGGATGCCGTTAAACTCTCGCATACGCGGGAAAACGAAGTGTACAAGGGTGCCGATGAAATCGTACATCTGGGGGCCCTTGATGTCGACCTTGACACCGACGGGTGCTTTGCGCCGCATCCAGCCCTGGACCTGCTTTTTTCCGCGGACGATTTGCACGCCCTCGGTCGTGCGCTGGCCGCCTTGCTCGGTCGAGAGACCGGAGATAGCGCGGAAGGCCATGATTGCGCCCAGAAGATGGCTCTTGCTCTGGAGGGCGTCTTTGACCATCGTGTGCAGCTGGATGCACTCGAGCTCGACCACGTTCTCGTAGGTCACTGGCGGGAGTGCCTGACGCGTCCACGCGAACGATCCACCAATGGGCGGGTTGTACCGGTGCTTGACGTATGGGTCTTCTAGGTCGTACGACAACCGAATGTTTCGTGGCGGTTTCGAGTCCGCCGGTTTATGGGTGTAGTTCATGTACATAAGGTCGTCCCGGAGGGTGCTGTTATAGTGATCGGCAACGCGAGACTGGTGAGTGTCCCGGACGATGACATGAACGTGCGGTACCGGAAGGCCATTTTGGTCGCGCTTGAGAAGTTTCCGAGGGGTGAGGGCCTTTGTCCGCCTAGCAGCAATTGCTGCCCGCCATCGACCGTCTGGTTTGACCGCAGAGCGTGCAACGTTGACAGCCGGGGCTGCGCTCATCTAATGTATTCTGGCGTTTCAGAACAGATATTGGGTGCTGAGCTTCGACTCAGAGCTCACCAGACTAGACGGGACTGGAGGCGAAAGTGGTCGTTGAATCTGAATTCGCCGAGCGGACAGTCCTATACGGCGCCTAATTCTAAAAGTTGAAAATGGCATACTGTTCCCACGATACTAGCAGCGCAATAATACAGTACGCTGATATTTCCTTTTGTACTGGTCATGCATGAAGCATGAAGCATGAAGTATTGAAGGGGCGTTACGTATAGCAGCATTCGTCTCTTAAACCTAAATTCCTACATTCGCAGCATCACATAGCCTGTAATTTTGTCGCTCTAGTGAGGGTCCGTGGCGTGGTTCACTACTCTAGTCCACTCCACTAGCGACACGCGAGTAGGCGGGACCAATCTCGACGATGAGGCACATCGTGCTATAGATCTTCGACATGAAAGCGTTGTTTCCGAAGGCGATGTACGGCGTGGAGAGCTTTTTGACATCCACAGGGCGCATAGGGGTCGCCCAGTGAACTTCAGTTTCAGGCCCTTCGTTCTGGCCATCGGGTGGAACAATATACTTGGCTTGCGCTGACTTCTCGAGCCAAAAGGTGAAACCATCCTCGTGCTCCCAGGTCGTAGGGGGTGGCACTCCGGGACACATGCGGACCTCCCTGTCTTCGCCATGGTAGAGGATCCGCAGGTTAGCCTTGAGGCCAAGGTCCTTGCAGGCCTTCTGCAAGATTGCGTCGCTTCCCTTCAGAACGCCGAGTAGCTGGTCGAGGGGGGTCAGCGGGACCTCATAGCCAGGAGTGTAGATCTTGGGTTCAATTTCGGTTAGGTCGACCGGGTACTCATGGCGCAAGCCGAAGCCAAGCAAGCCGCCGCCGGGCAGGTAGCTGCTGTCCCGCAGAAGCGCATCAAAAGCGGCTTTGAGCGCGAGCTCGTATGCCGTGTCTTGTGGCACGTCCCTCGCGACCGAGTCGATGAGATAGAGGTTGTAGGTCAGGGTGACCCTATATCCAGATGAGACCGGCTCAACCTCGTGCTCGACATCGCTATATAAGGCTGCATAGGCAATAGAAGGTGTCCGAGCCTCGGATATGATCTTCCCAGAGTCAAACTTGAACTTGCGGTACTCTTGACGCAAGGCCAGAACTCCACCTTCGTGGCGAGTTGGGAAGACGATGACGAGGGAAGCGATCATGTTATCTGCACGAGGTGTGTCCTTGTGCGTCTTGAAGAATGAGCCGGGACCTAGGGCGCGGGGTTGGCTGTACAGACAAGGACATGGAACGGTCAGGCGCGTACCGTAAACGTTAAGCTTATACATTTCTACCTTCAGAGCTTTGCCTTTGTGCCCTTCTAGGATGTTGTGGCGTATAGCATGCATAAGGCCACATTGCTCAGGGTCAAAGGTAGTCGCGAAGTGACCCTTATCGAGCTTTCCCGCCTTACGATACGACTCATCGTGAACGTCTTCGTGGCCGCGACCGAACGTAGCAATATCGCAGGCTTCCGCCAGGCGTCTGACTTGTTCGTCGGTGTGAGATGTGAAATCGATGCGTCCAAGGCCCCTGACGACACATATGAGAACTGAACGGCAGGCAATTATTTTTGTGCTCACTTGGAATTTGGGCCTTCTACCCCATAGTACAAGACGAGGTCTTCAGGCTGGACAGGGAAGATGCCACTGGAACACGGCAGAACCTTGCTCGAGATTGCATCATTCAACGCCTGGAGGTGCCAATGCTCCGGAACGAAGGACTCGGTGCAGCTGGTGCCAGTAGGAGACCATGCTCTGAGACGCGACATGGCTTGATTTGCCGGAAGACGTGGACGATATGAGAAGGGGGGGCTCGAGGGTCGTCCGTTCAGGCCGCTCGCAAGCCTTTTAAAAACGCCCATACGCTCCTATATCTCCATCTGGTCGCATAGTGTCGCTTGATGTGTATGGTCCGCGAAAGGCAATGATACTACGATATAAGAAGAAAGATGACTCGATGTGAGACTCGGAAGTAAATACGGCGGCTTACAGTTTCATATTCGGATATTCGTCAAAGTCCTCACTAATTCATCGGCTCGCCTAGCATGTTGTTGAACTATCATAAATGAGAAGCGTGAGTTCGCAATATTTACCAAAAGCAATAACAACCTGAATTCCAAGCGGGGCTGAGGTCCCAGGTTTGTCCCATGTGGCGGTATGCCATGGCCACATATTAAATCTCCGAGCGCTTCGAAGAGCAGCTCACTCTTTGCTCGTGGCAGTTCGATGCCAGAGTTGGCGACAGTGAGGCTAACCCGCGCGAGAACAAGACGACCTGCCACACATTTTTTCTGCCAGGGGCTGCGTATTCTTGGTCGTTGGGATATATTTACCATGAGATTCACCTGCTTTGTACCGATCAG